TTTTTCCTTCTGCGAGGAGTTTAACATATATGTCGCTGTTATTAACGTCTACGTATTCACCTTGAAGCCATATTCAGATGTCGTGGCGTTTACCAGACGTTAAGTGAATGCCAATATGGAAGACCGTAGCCATTACTGGACTGCAGTATAAAAGCTGAATTCTTTTACACTTAAGTCCGCATTCTTCTATATTAATGTCCATAGCTTTTAAAAGAAAAATACAATCAAACGATTTAATATATAGGTCTTTTTTAAACCATCTTATTTCCCAGAGAACTTTAACCTCTTTTTGTTGAAAATAAATAAAATTAAATCTTAACATTAAAACGAACGATGCTACTCACAGTATCAACGATGAAGGATGTAGGGGCATTTGCAAGCTAAGCTCAAGCAGTAGTGGGATGAATCAAAAGGCTGAGAGGATGAAATTGTGATTCCAGTTCCGGGTCTGTTGAAAATAAGTATTTAACAAGGCAAATGATTCAGTGCAAGACTTATTTCCATCCTTCACGCAAACGTGAAATATTTACATTGCAGGATGGTTTCTGTACAAAGATATATATCATGCGTATATTAAATTTTGTTATCCAACGTAGGACACGACAATATATATATATATATATATATATATATATATATATATATATATATATATATATATATAATATATATATATATATATATATATATATATATAAGTATATAATATATATATATATATAAGTGTGTGTAAGCAGTAGATAGTGTAGATGTTTTTTGATTCTGTATATCTTAAGCGATAAGTTTGAGAAACGAATTTAGATTCACCCATATATATATGCGCTTTTAAGTTTGATGTAATCTAAGCATCATGTACAAATAATTTATGAAAATAGACATCGCGATATTTGGTATTACAATTATACTTCTATATTTCTTCCTTGTGAACGGTTAAACTGGAATGTCCGATACTTTAAGTCAGGTAAGTAAAATGCTTGAGATCAGAGTAGAGGATTTTGAATATGGAATAGTTACGGAAAAATCCACAGATGTGACTTGTACTCCGTTCTTTTCTATTGCTTTGAGAAAAAATCCCTACATAGAGAATATATATATATATATATATATATATATATATATATATATATATATATATATATATATATATATATATATATATATATGTGTGTGTGTGTGTGTGTGTGTATGTATGCAATTCATTGACATTTTTGCTTATTTAATCAACAGTTTCAAGGAAGCGCTATATTTAAAAGCAATATTTTGTCATGTTTGTTGCTGGATTAGAAAAAATTAGATTGCGTAATAATGTAAAAAAAGTGTATCTTTCCACCATTGCAGTCAACCTTATACTTGTAAAATCCTTGACAACCTACTGAGTATAGATCTCTATAACGGGTATTTGAGCCTAGCTACGGTAAATGTTTTCTAGAGTAATTAATACTGAAGAAAGAAAAGAAAAGAAAATCTAATGTCTTTTTTAAAGGAAAATTAATATCAAAAACTATTTCCCAACATGCAAAAATAGCCTCAATATTCTGACCGTCCCGTCCTGTACTGTCCTGTCAAGTGATAGCAGTTTCAATAGAGGAAGGAGTGGGGGGTGTTTGGGGGGTATTGTGAAAGCGGGTGGGGTCGATAAGAAGAAGGTAGGAGGATGTAAAAAGTAGAGGGTAGGAGGAAGAGGAGTTGCAGAAGGAAGAGGAAAGAAGAAGAAGAAGAAGAAGAAGAAGAAGAAGAAGAAGAAGAAGATGATGATGATGATGATGAGAGTGAGGAGAAGTCTGTTGGGTTGGATGAAGCTTTCAAGTGTTTGACTTTCCTCCGACTTCTCCCGACAGAATTTCAAAATCCAGTCATGGGACGGGCATCTCTCACGCGGCTCTCCAGAGAAACAATAGCAACAACAAAAAAAAAAAAAAAAAAAAAAAAAAAAAGAAATAAAATTACAAGTAGTAAGAGTAGTACTAATAGTTGATGCAGTACACTGCTACTTGTCTTAATAGCACACCTTCCTAAGTCGCCATCATCACCGTCATCTCCTAAGATCACATTACCAGGATCATGATGTGTACTACGAAGCGACTAAGTGTACTGTTACTGAGGTTACTAAGAGTACTATTGGAATCATAATTTTAAGTGATGGTAATGAATGTGTTGGGGTGGGGGGATGTGAAGATAAAGAAAAAGAGAAAAAAACAAAATAAGGTGGATTGATAAAAACGGTGTGCAAGCATAAATGTCATGTGACCAAAAGAGAACAGAAATACTGTAGGAGTACATTGACGCAATGATGATTAGTATTTCCAAATTAGAGAAATCATTAATATTATTATTATTATTATTATTATTATTATTACTGACTTTAAAAAATAGGGTATGAAAACTAATTCTTTTGACATTAAGGAGAAAAGATGAGGAAGAGGAATATTGATGGATGATGAAATTATTCGAGACGATGATGATGCTTTATAAAAGAAGATTAAAAATGGAGAACGGATGGATAGAAACAGAAAAAAGAAGAACTGAAAAATGAAAAATGATGCATGGCAGGCTGGAGAATGAATATTATGGGATGGGAGGATCTAGAAAGAAAGAAAGAAAGAAAGAAAGAAAGAAAGAAAGAAAGAATCGTGAAAGCTAGGAAGAAAGAGGGACAATCGAGCAAGCTATCAGGCAAGAAAGGAATCAAGCAAGCAAGAATAAAAAAAGAAAGAAAGAAAGAAAGAAAGAAAGAAAGAGCTAGCTAGCAAGAATTTTAAAAAAAGACCACAATCAGGCGACTTTATTTTGGGAGGTAATGCAACAGAAAAAGTAAGAAGAAAGGTAAAAAACAAAGAAAAATAATCCAGAACAAAAGAGAAAGAGAGAGAGAGAGAGAGAGGCGACTTTACATTTTAGATGTATAAGAAAGTGAGAAAAACATTGAGTGAAAGAAAAAAGGATAAGCAAGAAAGAAAGATAGAAAGTCAAAAACAGAGAAACACACAGGGAGAAAAAGAGAGAGAGGGAGGTAGAGATTAGCATCTAATGGAATAATCTATTTTGGTATGGATAAAAGAAAGAAAGGAAAAAAGAAGACTATGAAAATAAATAGTGTATGTGGATGCGTGTGTGTGTCTGTGTGTATGTGCGTGAGAGAGAGAGGGGGACAGAGAGAGAGAGCGGGAGAGAGAGAGAGGCAATAACCGAGCAAAAGAGGAAAAAGACGTCAGTAGGATCTGGACGAATTCAAAATTTAAAGAAAGAAAGAAATGCTGAAAGCAATACAGAAAGAAAGAAAGAAAGAAAAAAAAGAAAGAAAGAAAAAAAGAAAGAAAGAAAGAAAGAAGTCAATCTGAAAATAAAGTGTATGTGTGTGAGAGAGGAAAACACACACACACACACAGATATATATATATATATATATATATATATATATATATATATATATACACACACTGGATCTACTGAACGGATTTGTTTTAGATCTACAGGTTAAATTAGTACATCTGCCATACTTCATGTATGAAAAGGGATCGGACATTTCTTATGCAGTCGGTTATTACTCAAATCCGAAGATAAACACTTTTAAACTCCTATTAATCTCCTTCATCATAAACAATACAAATGCAACTTATAGTGGTCATATCAGTGGTTGTACGATAACCGGGAGCCTCTTGATAACAAGTCAAACAGTTTGAATATTAATGCATGTTGGAATAGTGTTTGTTAACAACCAGTATTAATATTCATTGAGTTTGGCGCTGGTTTTGGCACTGATAGCAATCATAGGGGTCTCCATGGGTTGAACGACGTGGGTAATATTTCTAATAAGAATCACTGAAATGAGAATGACGGAGAAGGAGCAGGTGTTTGAGGGTGGGTGTAATCTCAGTTTTTGGTAGTTTTAACAGGGTGGTAAGAAGCAGGGTGGGGGTGTAGTGAGGATGAAATGGGAGAGTTGGTGTTTTTGTACCAGAGGAAAATCGAAGAATTTTCGCATAAAGTTGAATATTCCGAATAGGAGACGTAGAGGCTTAGGTTGGGGTTGAGGGTAGAAGGGGTATCGGAGGGTGGCGGGTCTTTGTGGATCATGACTCAAAAGAGTGATGGAGAAGCGGGGGTAGGTGGGAGTACGAAAAAAGAAGAGAGAGAGGGGAGGGGTAAAGGAAAGGGTGGAGTAAGTTGTTCGGTGGGGCGGAAGGAATCGGGCGAAGGTTTAGAGTGGAGACTGGGGGACTGAGATAACAGAAGAGGAGGGGAGGAAGTGGGTAGGTTGGTGGTAGGTGGAAGGGGTTGAGGGTGGCTGTAAGTGGTACGGCTCTTAAAAGCGAAAGTAGAAATGACTGACTGGGCGATTTAGTGAGTAACTGAACGAGCATTTACAGGAGAAGATGAAGTTAGAAACAAGAGAAATTTGAAAAATGCGCCCGGATGCCAAAAAAAAAAAAAAAAAGTAAAAAAAAAAAAGAAAGAAAAAGAAAAATGAAGAAAGAAAAAAGAACGTATGTAGCAAAGTTAAGAAAGAAAGAAAGAAAGAAAGAAAGAAAGAAAGAAAGAAAGAAAGAAAGAAAGAAAGAAATAACGTGCGTTAAGGACAGGAAGCAAACAAGAATTATAAGGACCAGAAGAAAGAAAGAAAGAAAGAAAGAAAGAAAGAAAGAAAGAAAGATCGTACGTTTAAGACAGGAAGCAAACAAGAAAGATAAGGATCAGAAGAAAGAAAGAAAGAAAGAAAGAAAGAAAGAAAGAAAGTAAAGAAACTAAAGAAACAAAAGAAGAAAGAAAGAATTATAAGACCAGATGTGTGGCTACACTTTTCTTTCTTTTAGCGGTATTTTATAAATTTAGAATAGTCAGGCACAAGGCCATGGGTTTAGGACCATTCGTAAGAATCACAATCATTGCACTGATTAGGTAGCATTGTTAACTATTAAAAGTCTCAAATACATAAGCTTAGTTTAGATTGACATAAGGCTAGAGGGATACTGAGTCAGACTCAGTCAACTGTACGAATGCAAATGTGCTAGTCATCAAAACAAAAGAGCACTCTACTAATTTACTTTTTTTAACTTTATCTAGCTCTGCCTATACATCAAATTTATTTATATCAATATCAATATCTATCTATCTATCTATCTATCTATCTATCTATCGCAGTCTTTTAATGTGCCTATCTCCCAATATATGTTCCAAAAACAAAACAGCGAAGATAGCCCGTCTAACATCAATAACACAAAATTCATATGCCTACCTTCTAATACGTTATCTACAAAATTTATATAAATATATATATTTCTCTCTAGAAAATAATACGGAAATTGAACATTTTATTTTGTTTTATTAATTTATATATAAATGTGTTTAGTTCGATGGGCCTATAGCAATCTGTTCATATCTATCTATCTATCTATCTATCTATTTATCTATCCCTATCTATCTATCTATCTATCTATCTCAGTCTGTTCATATCTATCTATCTATCTATCTATCTATCATATCTATCTATCTATCTATCTCAGTCTGTTCATATCTATCTATCTATCTATCTATCTATCTATCTATCTATCTATCTATCTATCTATTCGCGCCATTACATTTTCGTCCTCTGTTGGTTTCATCCATTATTTCTTCGATTAACCTCTAAATTTTCTTTCTCTTCATTTTGCGATTGACACATCTTTACACTTCTTTTCATTTCATTCCTTTTAGGAAATTAAAGGCCTAATATTGCTACCACCACTAGGAAATCATTGTTATTATTACGGCCTGAGATTGCGTGAGATGGTTATTAATATTACGTAGATATAGCAGGCACATGAATTACATATTATTATTATTATTATTAATATTAACAACAACAACAATAATTCGACTCGTGTCTATAAGAAATGGCGATACTATTAAAGTATGGATCTTCGCCTAGAATTAGTGCAGCTCTAAGTCCTTATTACAATCAAAGTCGAGCTCCGCGACCCTCTCTGCTGAGGATCAGTGTAGTAAATGTGCATGCTATAAAAATGTTATACAGATACACAATATATGTGTATGTGTGTGTGTGTGTGTGGCTGCTCATTAGGTGTTATACATGTAGATGACTACTAGTGGAAATCGTACTATTATCTATTCGTAGAGTTTTCAGATCCAGCAGGTCAAGTGACAGCAAGTCTTTTCACTACCCTAGTATACATCCCAGCATTCTAGATGTATTCTATCGTCGGAAAGGATCCAATTATTCCTGAATATGTTTTTGTTGTTTTCTTCTTCTTCTTCTTCTTCTTCTTCTTCTTATTATTATTATTATTATTATTATTATTATTATTATTATTATTATTGTTGTTGTTCTTGTTGTTCTTGTTGAATGAAAGAACATCACACCAAAAAATGACATTGGGGTGCAAATATATGAAACCCAATACATCCATCATGACACCCAATCATATAAATGTATGCCAGGAATATGTATCACAGGAAAAGGGGTGCTATATTATACCCGGTTATTATTATAGTTATTATTATTATTATTATTATTATTATTATTATTTGTAGTCGTATTATCTGTTCACTTTTTCTTTTTAACATACTCTCTTATAGAATCTGTCATTTTCGTCTTCATCTTCCTATCTTTCTCTATCATCACCATCAAAGCCTACCCATCATCATCATCATCTTTTTCTTCTCATAATTATTATTAATATTATTATTAGCAGTAGTAGTGGTAGTAGAAGTATTCACAGATCCAGCTCATACTTTACCCATCTATAAAACCCTCCCACCTTCGTCATCATCATCATCATTGTCAATATCATTATCAGCAGCAGCCACCCTCCTTCACTTCATCAGTTGGGTCATGTGTTACCTCTTCGTATCCTCTTTCCTGCTGCCACTACTCTTTCATATTTCCCAGTTCTACCCACCTCTCTCCATCTATCTGTCTCTCTATCTTTCTCTACTCCTTCTTACTTCAATCCATCACTTGCCTCAATTTTCTCCTCCTTCTTCAATCCACCATTTGCCTGCTAGCTCCCCCCCACTCTCTCTCTCTCTCTATCACTCACATGCGCCGACAGTCTCTCTCTTTCTCTCTCCCTTTCTCTCCCAAAAACTATCCTCAGACTTCTACCCCGGCGTTACAGCTTGCAAGAACTTGCGTTGTTATTTTGGAATCTGGTCAACCCACTTTCGCTTTGCGTATTGTCAATCCAGCATCTGGAATCCTGTCGGCAAACGCATGCTTATACGCACATACATAGACACACATAAGAAATGCACATACATAGACACACATAAGAAATGCACATACATAGACACACATAAGAAATGCACATACATAGACACACACCAATAGATATAGACATTAAAGTACAAATAAAATAAATACATACAGGTGCATATATATATATATATATATATATATATATATATATATATATATATATATATATATATATATATATACACACACACATATATATATATATATATATATATATATATATATATATATATATACACACACACATATATATATATACACACACACACATATATATATATATATATATATATATATATATATATATATATACACGTGCGTGTGTGTGTGTTTCAAGCAATATATATTAGATTTATCGTGGAGCGGCACTTTGACATACATACACATATAAGGCTATATATCAGAA